ACTCAGCATTGACTGAACGCTGAGTCATCATTGACTGAATGCTGAGTCATCATTGACTGAATGCTGAGTCATCATTGACTGAATGCTGAGTCATCATTGACTGAATGCTGAGTCATCATTGGCTGAATGCTGACTCAGCATTGACCGAATCCTGTCAGGTAATTTCACAGAACTGACTCAGCGTTTTCTTTCAGAGGAAGAAGAAGCAGAAAGAGAAGCCGCCCGCTCCGCCTCAGGCAGAACCTGCAGTCGTCAGACAGRAAGTTCCGAGTTCTGCAGCGAGGAAGAGGAGGAGGAAGAGGGGGCCTCTTAAAGCCGAGACCCACACCCCGAGTCCAGAGGAGGCCCAGAAGGTGAGGAGCTCGTTCCAGAACCACTTGGTTTGGTTTAAGAAGCCTGAAAGTGGCTCAGGTTTGCTCCTTCAGCTCGGGTCCAGGGACCAGCACCAACAGGTTCTGTTTGGACCTGGTTCAGTTTCAGCTCCCAGACCTGATCCAGAGAGGTCGGGCTGTTTGTGGGGTTCTGCTGCAAAGTCTGAATGAATGAAAGAGCAGGTTCTGACCCAACAGAACCAGAACAAGATGAGATAAATGTCAAATAAAAACAATAAAAGCTCAGTTGTTGTTTCTGGGGCAACGTTTGGACCGGGAGTCCAGGACTAAATCCTCCTCACAGAGAGCTGGCACCGTGTCCAGGGTTCAGGACTGATGGGGCCCACTGAGCCAAACCCCCCCGACCCGGTCCCCCCACAGAACCAGCACCTCTCTTTTCTCTCAGAGACTCACAATGTGGATCTGTGAGGGAGTTACACAACAACTCAGCAGGACCGGACCAGAATCTGGACCCAACCTCCAGAAACACAAACCAGTTCATGGAGCCATGAAGCAAACCATTTGGACYGATTTAAATCAATTTAAACTTTAAACAGATTATTTTTTATATTAAAGCTCAGTCCTGATCAAATAATCTGGTTTTGTTCTGCAGAGTATCTGAAAGTTTTTAAAGAATTTAGTAAAAAAACAGAAATATGATGCTGCATTCAAAGACCACAAAGAACGTGGGATTTCTGAACTTGAAGTCTTATTTCCAACACATTCAGTTAGTTTTGTTCATTTCCCACCAAATCCTGAAAACACTGAGTTTCATCAGGCCCACCTGATGACCCACAGAGACCAGGAACAAAGACCAGACCAGAACCCAGTAAGACCCGACAACAAGGAGAGACCAGGGAGGGTGATTACTGAGTGAGAGCAGCTGGGCTGAGGACAAGTGGGGGAGCTGCAAACAGGAAGTAAAGAGGATCAAACCAAGTCAAATCATCATCATCATCATCAGCTGGACTGACACTGAGGAATAAATAAACCCTCTGAAAGTCTGGAGAACTGGTCCGGATCCAGGAAAGTCTGGAACCTTGTAGTCTGACACGAATTTCCATTAAAAAACATCAAATTTAGGAAATATTTCTTTAATTCTTCTTGATTTTCTGGACTTCCGGTCTGAAACTCGGGTCTCGTGTCACTCAGAGAATGAACTTCAAATCGGCCTTATTAAGATAAAACACAAACCTTTTTTTAAAGGCGGGAACGGATCCAGATCAAGACTTTAGTTGTCGCTGCTTCATCCACCTGAGGAGGAGGAGGAGGAGGAGGAGAAYCCTCCGCCCTGCAGCTCGGATCGGTTCTGCTTTCAGTCCGCAGTTCGGATTGGTTCTGGATTCGGGAGAACATCTTCTAGACCGGAAACCCCAGGAGACAGGCGCGGCTCCCGGTTCGGTCCGGTCCGGTTCGGGWTGTTGGAGCGGATTTAACGGAAGCTGCAGAGCGGTTCTGTTCGGAAGGTGACCTGGGACTCTGCAGAGATCCGGGTGAGTAAAGCTGGGATGGTTCCGGTCCATTCTGGAGTGATGCTGCAGACAGAACCTGAGCAGAACCGGGACATGACGGTTCGGCTGTCAGCTGGGTCTCTGCAGCTCAGGTCTGGTTTCAGGTGTGGTCCTGCAGTCTGACAGGGTCTGGGTCCTGGATCTCAGACTGTGAAGGACATGTCTCTGTTTGGACTTCAGTGTCCCAGAAGAGACAAAACATCCTGAAACCAGAACTTTACTCATTTATTTACTGTTCAGAACCGCAGAGTCACTTCAGTCCAACTGGGTCAAACATTAATTATTTTATTTATCAACAACTAAAATCTATAAATGTTTCTGAAACATGATATAAAAGTTTCAGCTTCTGATGTTTTTTCATCAAACTTGTCAWAAAATGTTTGTTTATTAGTTACAAACTGTTGGTTCTATATTTAGAAACAGGACCAGAAGCTGGAAGCTGAAGCCATTCAGTACAGGATTTAAGCCCCGCCCCTTCATGTAACCAATGAGACTAAAGATAAAAACACAGCTGAATTAATTTGTTTCACCTGGTGGTTTTGTTGCTGTTTCATCAAATCTGCATTTTTAAATATGTTTAGTTTTTATTTGAGACTAAAAGGAAAGTCTCATGTTACTCTATGATTGACAGCCTGTTAGTGAGGCGGGAGGGGGCGGGGCCTTCAAGGGTACCGCCCTCACTTCTAGTGCATCTAATGGAGCCACTCAAAAGCTGGCATTTACCTGTTCCCCGAAACGTGTCGGACCTGTTCCCCGAAACACGTCGGACCTGTTCCCCGAAACACGTCGGACCTGTTCCTTGAAACACGTCCGGACCTGTTCCTTGAAACATGTCGGACCTGTTCCCCGAAACACGTCGGACCTGTTCCCCGAAACACGTCGGACCTGTTCCCC